ACACACACACACACACACACACACACACACACACACACACACACACACACACACACACACACACACAAGTTTGTATTTCTAATTTTATTAGGGCCATTTGTTTCCAGTCATTTCTATAGCCTAACCCTGACCCTTTACCCTAAACCTAACCCCACCAGTATACTTAACCCTAAAACCAACCTAAGTCCTAAACCTAAACCCCATCTCAAACATGGAGTTACACCATATTAGGACCGGTCTTTGGTCTCCACTGGTCTTGACAAGGTAGGTGTGTATACCAAAGACAACACATACAAGTACACACACACACACACACACACAGGGCATCATTGGCTTCATAAGCACCAGCCTCATTTCTCTAAGTGCCGTCTTTCAGCAGCTAAAGGCTTAGTGTCTGAACTGCTGGATCACTTTGCTTTCAGCCATTACGGGATATGACAGGTTGAGATGTTGAGAGCCATTTGGTTCAATTACACAGTTTTAGACAGACATTATCTCACCTCACATTTTTATTGCACACTGTCTAAGCAGCAATAAACTCACACGCGCGCCGGTGCCAAAAACCTGTCTCCCCAATCTGCCAGGCTCTTGTGACGGGAATCCAGAGGATGACCTGAAGCTGCCGAACGGCACCGTGGTCAGGGAAGTGGGAGACATGATGCTCTTTCTGCAGGCGTGGAGGGTCCAGACCACAGACGACACCGAACACACACGCAGGGTCGGAGACAACTGCACCGTTGGGGACTGCTCCACGTGTCTTTCAATGCTGCAGCAGAGGGCCTTTACACCCTGTCACAGCAAGGTAGCTAACAACGTTTCATACATTTGATTCTAGAGAATGTGCTGAAATACAATGACATGTTTTTATCAATGCAAATAAATGTAGTTTGATTTATAAATTGATCTAAGAAAATTACAGAAACTACAGATTAAATGATCTTAAACATTTACAGGTGCCTCCAGAGCAGTTCTGTGACATCATGTGGGCGGGCGACCTGCATTACAAGGACCACCAGTGTGACTTTCTGGCGGCCTACGTGGCAGTCTGCTACACACATCAAGTCTGCATCAGCTGGAGGCGAAACAACTTCTGCCGTGAGACGACGCCAGCATGGTAACCCAACGCTCGCTCTTGTTCCTGTTTGCTGACGTGTTCCTGTCATCCTGCAGCGCTGCGGTGTCCCCCCGGCAAGGAGTATCAGCCGTGTGTGAGCACCTGCAACAGCCGCACCTGTCTTAACAAGGACTACTACGAGGAAACCACCTGCTCCTTCATCAGGGAGGAGTGTGTGTGTCGCAGTGGGACCATCCTGCACCGAGCCGACTCGCCCTACTGTGTCACCGAGGATCGTTGTGGTAACTGAAAAAAAACCCACTCAGATTAACACTGAACTGAGCACGATTTGCTCTAAATTTATGCTGATGATACTGTCTGTTTTTTTGTTTTTTTAAGTTTGCACAGACAATGAGGGGAACCCCCGGGCCCCTGGAGAGGTGTGGAACGGCTCTGCTCGAAGCTGCTGTCTGTATAAGTGCATGGAGAACGGCTCTGTGGTCGCTGTGGAACCAGACTGCAGTGCTGTTCCTACACCACTGTGTGAGAGGGAGGGAGAGTATGTCCTGGATGTGTTAGAAGAAGGATCCTGTTGTCCAAAGAAGATCTGTGGTGAGTTTTAGTTTCATCTTTGGTGAGAAAACAGAGCATTCACTCTACTGAGATATTTTTTTCTTCTTTATGTTTTTCCGCACGTATCTCAATCCACTATTTTTGTGCTATTTCAACATTTTATAAATCAAAATGTTCAAAACCCTCAAGACATTCTGACTGTGACTTTTGATGCCTTAGCAATTTATACTTTTTGAGATAATTAGTTTCTTCAGCCTTTTTTTTTCCTCATTGAAAACGAATAGAGCTGTTCAGCATCCCATTAAAATGCTCATAAATCTTTCTTTTTACCTTTTGGTCTGGTTCTGCTTTTTTAACATCTTTGTGCAAATTTCAGATTACGTCGGCTTCTATTTTGTTGATTTAAGCGTTTTTTCTGTTTTTTTTTTAGCTATCGTGACCTTAGATTAGATTAGATTAGATTAGATTAGATTAGATTAGATTAGATTAGATTAGATTAGATAAGATAGACCTTTATTGTCATTGTACAGAGCACAATGAAATTACTGCTCAGTACACCCATTCAGTGGATGACAGATAGCTACAAACATCTAATTTAAGATTTTATGGCGTCTTTCAGCTGGTNGATTAGATTAGATTAGATTAGATTAGATAAGATAGACCTTTATTGTCATTGTACAGAGCACAATGAAATTACAGTTCAGTACACCCATTCAGAAGAAGCTTTTTAGCTTCTTTTTGCTAATTTAAGATTTTATGGCGTCTTTCAGCTGGTTTTCACTAATTCCAGCTGTTTTCTGTGTTTTTAGCTACTCTTTTTAGCTAATTACAGCTAATTAAAGCTTTTTTCAGAAAAATTCACCTTTTGTGATCATTTCAGCTTATTAACTCAGCTTAATTCAGCAAACATGCTCTTTCTGATATTTTGCGCTAACTTCAGTTATTTCAGCTACTTTTAGGCTAGTTTCAGCTTTTATGGCTATTTTTAAACAAATTGCAAGTTTTTAGTACTTATTTTCTTGTATTTTGCTTATTTGAAAATTTTAAACACTTTATCAACTTGTTTTTGCTACTTTAAGCTTCTCTTTGTTAATTTTAGCTGCTTTCCTCCACTCTTTTTAGACTTTGACCATTTTTTGTTTTGCTTTGTTCCTGCTGATTTTTCACTGTTGTCTTACTTTCAGCAAAAGTCAACTGTTCAAATTGAACTTGCATGAACAGTTTTGCCATTAAACATTTTCAGCAGCTATCAGCAAACGTCTTTCAGCATTAAGCATTCACATTGAATTTTCGCAGGAAATGCAATTTCTCTAATTAAAGAAGCAACACTAATTCTCCTCCTTAATCACTCTGCTTTTTTTCTTAACTCTTCGTCAGATTGCAACATGACAATCTGTGACAGCGAGGCGCCCCCTTGTGATAATGGCAACCGGCTGGTGATTGGTTACAGCGCACTGTCCTGCTGTCCAGAGTACCGATGTGGTGAGAACCAACTTTACTGAAGCCTTTTGTTAAGAAAAGATTTTTTTTGGTGAAACTTTGACCATCATTAAAATGTCTTCCTCAGAGTGTGATCCCATGGCGTGCCCTCCTGTTTCTGCCCCCGACTGCAGGGAAGATCAGTTCCTTGTCGAGGTCAGGGGCCAGAAATCTTGTTGCTATTCTTTTCTGTGCGGTAAGTTTTGATTGGAGTTCACAGTTCAGACTAAAACTATAAATCTGTTGTCACTAATATGACGCTTTTCCTTTATCCTTCTGCCAATGACAGCAGTAAAAGTTGTTTTTTTCCTGTGTGAACAGTGTGTGAGTCATGTATCGAGCCCATTCCCACTTGCTCTCATGGAGAAATCCTGGCGGTAGATCTGAACACCACCAACAGCTGCTGTCCACAGTACCATTGTGGTAGGTGTGTTAGCTTGTGAGACTGTGTGTGTTTGAGTTTGCTTCTTCATATTTGTTTTCCTTTTCCATCTTTTGCAGTGTGTGATGTTAACCTTTGTCCCAAAACATCTGTAAGTTGTGCACCTGGGCTCTCTTTGGTTGAAACTGCTGTTCCTGGGGATTGCTGCCCTCATCACCACTGTGGTACACACACACACACACACACGCACACACATAGTCACATATATTTGTGAGCGTCACCACTTCTGGGCTGTCGTTATCCTAAAAGTTGTAATGCCCGTCACGTACTTGCAGAAGTTTCACACGACTTCCCTCTTTAATTCCCTTTCTCTAATGTCCAGAATGTCAATGTGAAGACGCCGCGCTCTCCATATGTCAGTTGGTGAGTCAGCAAAAAAAGAAAAGAAAAAAAAGAAAAAGGAAGTCACTGTATGCCAGAAAATAAACACATTCCGTTAAGTAAGCATTTTGTTTTGTCTCAGGGGGAGGTTCTGGTTGAAGTCCCTGACAGCAGCACCATCTGCGGCTGTCCTCAACACACGTGTCGTACGTGAAAACACAATCAGGACCGTTAGGGTCAACTCCATCTGCTTTTCCATTTGTGTGACTCTGAGCCTGTGTGTGTGTGTGTTGGTGTGTAGAGAAAGGTGCGGTGTGTCTGTTCCAAGGCGTGACAGTGCTGGGTCCAGGACAGTCTCTGGTTCAGTACTTTGAAGGAGAACTGTGCTACACCGTTCAGTGTCTGCATTTCAAAGATCCACTCACCGGCTTCCACGCAATGGAGATCACCTCTGTCAACTGCTCCCAAAAATGCGGACCTGTACGTATCCAATCGCATTGACACGAAATTAACTTTTGCTTTTGTTATCGTCTTGTATACCTGTATCGCCTCTTTGGATTTGCTTTGTGTTTTCAGCACCAGGTGTACGCGCCGTCCACAGACCCTCAGGTGTGCTGTGGCTCCTGTAAAAACATCTCCTGCACCTTCACCAACGAAAACGGATCGGCGGAGCTTTTCACTGTGAGAGCGGGCAAGTCCACATCCACGCGTGTTCAATGTTCCCCTGTTAAAGCGCTCACGAATGTAACGGTGTGCGCAGGCAGGGAGTTCCTGGGTGGAGAACTGCACACGTTACGACTGCGTGGAGACAGCAGTGGGAGCGGTGATTCTGGCGTCGGGGGTCATCTGTCCTCCTTTCAATGATTCAGAATGCGTTCAGGTCAGAGCCGATAAATATACAAGTTCTGAACTTTCATCCCTTGCTGTGTAGCTGCTGATTGATTATTAAGTGTTTGCTGGATTCCTTTAATACTGCTTCATGACAGCTGAAGTTTCTCATTTTATTCTCTTCTTGCAGAGCGGCGGTGTTGTTCAAAGCTACGTGGACGGTTGCTGTAAGACATGTGAGTGTCCAGATTTAAGCGGGGCTGCTGGAAACGCTTTGTGCAGCTGATTAGAGGGGTGAGCGCTTTGTTGCCTGGCAGTGGATGGGCTTATTGGCTGAATTGTCGGGGTGTGTGGCTTTTTATTTATTTATTTTTTCTTTTTGAGCCTGGCAGCCTACAACTACATTTCAAAATCCCTGGTTTTCCGAAGGTGTCGTCAGAAACTTCTGCTGGCATTTTTAAAAGGCAGCACAGCTCAGACAAAAGAAAATATTAGGTGGGGAATGTCCGAAAAATAATACACAAAGAAGATACAGTGGTTTGCAAAAGTATTCATACCCCTTGAACTTTTCCATATTTTGTCACATTACAACCACAAACATAAATATATTTCAC